TTGGATGTTATTAATTATTATTTATGTAATTTTGAAACCTTTTTCTTATTTTAAGCAGTATTTATAATCGTGTGATTATTACAATTTTCATGTTCTTTAATTTACTGTAGCATTGCCAAACATAGATTGTACGAGTACCTATGTATCTAAAAATATTACCGCACAGTCATAAACAAAATTAATTATGATTAAACTTGTAATTAATATAGATTAGTAATTGTATGATGCATCATAGCCAGACACTTAAATGCTTGATAAAAGTATTTTATAAAACTAATTTGTATACAGAAATTATATGATATGATATATAATATAACTGATATTAGATTATTGTATGAAACACCATTTAAAGTGTGATATCACATACTTTTATGAACAGAGAAATTTTCTTTAATAGCAATGTGATTTAGGTTGAGACAATAGTTCCAGGGATTTAACTGGGTTTAAGAGATCGATTGAGGTTGCTTAGTATATACTAACGCCAACTATAACATTTTAAAATGATGTTTTCAACTTTTATAAAGTAGGTACAATTTTCAAACTTTTAATTTTTGTAAAGAATAACTTAATACTTATTGTTCAATCTTGTGGTGCATTAAAAAAATATAAATATATAACTGTATATTGTATATAATATATTAAACTTATTGAATTAAAATATATTTTAAGAAATTTAAAGCTTGAGATAAAACTTATATTATGGTATAATGTAGTTTTAAACTCAAGATGCTTATTCAAGAATTAAAAGTTTTATTTTAGAAATGAAAATTGATTATTTTTCAATAATCTGTGTTGGAGTTCATTAGAATATAAGTGTTCAGTAGATTAACCACAAAATAATTGTTCAAATCAATTTATTTAATTTTCAATAAAAAACTTATCCCTTATATTTAAATTACCAAATCAAAAGTTTTAATTGTTTTATTGTTTTAAATATGGCACAAATGTCTATGAAATATATTTTATTATCTTTTAATATTCATTAAATATACATATTCAAATATTTGTTATTGTTTATGTTTTTCAATGAGTTAAAAATATCAAGAATGAAAAAATAACTAAAAAAATTATATTTTATAAACAATATTAATTCATATGTATTCAAAAAATATTATACAAAAGTAAAATATTCACAGTAATTTATATTTAAAAATATATACCTATAATTATTCTATTTCTTAATGAACTTTATTTTGTATGTAAATTACAGCTTATATTTTGTGTTATAATTTTATTTGTTTAAAAATTTGAAGATTACCGTTTTTGAGGATATTTGATTGAAAATGTCAACATGAAGTTTTACTTTATACAATTCAATTTACATAATTATTTACTGTTCTACGATAATAATTTTAAGATCAATTATTTATCATAATATTAATGTTGATTAGAATACTTATAGTATAAATTTGTTATTATTAAGTTGATTATTTTAAAAATAATTCTATATTTAAAGTAAAAAAGTACAAGTAAATAAATCCAAAACTAAATATTAAGAACAACACAAACACGCGATGATAATATTACAATCAAGTTCCCTAGGTGCTCATGTTCAACCCACTACAGTAGTAAACGGAACATTTTGTTACACATCGTATATAATATACATATGATGCTATCTAAAATTATATTATACAATATCCTAAAAGAATAAAATAACGTACTGAAAAGTTATTTTATAGGATCCGCAAAAACTGTCTGTGGATCGTGAGAGGGGCGGTAGGGAATGGAAAGACGTCGCCGAGCAAATAATATGACGACAATATTCGATCGTAAGCAGCGAACTATGTATGTATTGTATGTACATGAGGTAAAATTCACGATGAGGATATGATACGAGAGAGTATTATATTTATATACATATATAGTATATATATATATATATAAATCCATACACGCTAGATCACAAAAAAGATATCATTGTGTGTTCCATTGTCGTAGTTCCGAGCCGGAACATCGTGTAATACTATATTATGTGCAAAAAAACTTTTAGTGACCCGACCGACGAAAACGTCAACCAGCGTTTGAGTTTAGGGTTTTTTTTTTTTTTTATGCACACGTATATGTATATAAATTGTGTTTTGATTTTTTTCTTACGTCGTCGACCACTGTAACCCTTTTTCCAGCTTTTCCACGTCGCTGTCGTATCCGGATACTCCTCCTTCTAACCACGCATCCTCGAGGGCGATTCAAATCCGATTTCATATCACCACCGTATTTGTCCGTCGAAATATCTGTCGACGTAATACCGTGTATAGTGATGTTCATCCCTGACGCGTGCGAGTATGCACACGCATATCCGACGTCCAAAATCTCCCGCAGTCAGCACGGTCCTACGGAAACGACAAAAAATAAAGAATAAAAAACAAACACTCACACACACACATTATTATATACACATTCTCTGGTAACGATCCAACCCCGTGTACGAATGAACGAAATAACTGCAAGTCGTGATGGACGTTATAGAATTTTTTCACACCGTGTACAGGATATTCTCTGCAATCTGGAAAAAAAAATGTACAACGAAAACTGCCCATCACCTCGCTCACTCCTGCAATATATTGTCATAAGAGATAACAATACAAATCTGGATGTTCGACAGCCAGCCGATGGTTTTTTTTTTTATATAATACATAATATATTATATATATTTTTTATGTAGGACCTTCGTGAAGTGGAATGTTGTGTCATTCTCGGTGCGAACATCGATTGGTTATTAATTATTAATATAATACCGCCTAATGTTATTCGAAGTATTTTCCTTACATATTATATACTTATATATAACATTTTAGTCGGTTGAAAGTGTAGTCAAATATTTGGTAAAATTTCCTGGGAAGAATTACGCTTAAATCACTTTGCATACCTATACCAAAACCAGTTGCCATAAATTTGATTAGTCTCAATTTTACTTTATGTAGTTTGTATTTTGTTATAATTTCGTATTACTATATTACACATGAAATAATTCAAAATAAACAATAATTAGCTATGTAGAATAATATTGTGTATTTATGGTTTGTAAGCAACACGTGCAAATATAATATGCCATAGAAACAGGATTATTGGATCGCTTGGAATTTATAGGAATGCATTGCAATTACTATCTGTATTAAATGTAGTAAATCATAGCTTATTAGTATAATGTATACAAATAAATACAGATTATTTTTTAAATACCAAATTTTCTTTCATATTTTGTACATTTTCATAAATGATTATCGTGTATTATATGGAAAGAGGAAGGGCATAGCCCTTTCTTTAAAATGAAGCAGTCTCTCTAGCCACTTACTTCCTAGAGTAGGTTTATAATCACTGATTTAATACTCATACTGTTCTCTTCGTTGACTGTTTTCTTATATCTTATACTATCTTTATGTTAAAAAAAATAAAATTTAACAATTATAAAAAATATATTATGTAAAACAATTGTAATTTCATAATAACTGGTACGTATGGATAAAAATTCTGATTGGATTATAACTTATAATTGGTGATGATGATTATAATTTGTATTTATATTATTTTTTAATAGGTAAATTATCCATTAAAAAAAAAAATTATGTGCTATTTTTATCGTAGTGATTATACACAATTAAAATATATAAAAATTATCTAGTTAAAATTTTTAGTTTTTTATAATTTAGTTTGAAGTGTTCTAAGTACTTGAAATATTGTAAAGGGATTTAAATTTTATAACAATAAGACTTACATTATAAATATAATGGAAACACTCATAACTAAGTAAGTTTTTATAAAAAAAAAAAAAAATGCATAGTGTTGTACACATATAATAGGATACTAACAAGTTTCGTTAGGACTGAGCACTGATTCTCATCTGCATTACATATAACGTATTGTCAATTGGCTTACAGACTACAGTCTACAGATACGTATGAAATACATTCCCTACAACATCTTCAACTTTTTATAATATTTTTCTCTTACGAACTTGTCTCTTTAACATTCCAGACAGAATTTTAAACGATTTTTTTATTATAATATATAATAGATAGAAATTCACCAAAATTATTTGTAATTCTTGACTTAACAATTTTTATTTATTGATATTTAATAATTAATACCCATAAATACATTTTCAATAAAATATGTACAATTTTAAGTTGTATTATAATAATAAAATTTGAATTATTTTGTTTTCATAATCAATAATCACATACTATAACTCATTTCACAATAGATATTATACATTCGTATATAAATAGTTGATATATTGATAGTTTTATAAATACAATGTATTCATTTAAAGTAAATTTAAACTGATTTGAACTGAATTTTTATTTATTCATATAATAGAATTCTTGAAAAATAATCTATTGATATGAAGAAAAAGTGGACAGAAATTTGTTTCCTTTAAAACATTTTCATGTACAAGAGTCGGAGGTTTAAAATTATCCACGAGGGTCCAATAAGTTTAAATTAGTATATCCCTACAGTTACCTATATTTATTTTGTTTTATTTTGTAGAACTAAAAAGGATATTAATTTTTTTCTATTATCCATTATTAATACAAAACACATAATATATTATATCAGTATAATTTGTAATTTCTAACTGAAATAAAGCCATAATAAATATTGAAAAAGACAAATCCTTAATCATAATAATTTTCACATAATAAATTTAAATTAATATATTTCTTTTTCAAATATTTGCTTATTATAGTAAACAAAAATTATTTAATATTTTAAAGAACGCCAAAAATTTTTTTAAAAACTAAAATACAAATATATTATTTTAAAGGAATACAACTATCTCTAATCGAGATATCTATAATCATACCGTAACGAACTTTTTTCTTCATAATTAATCAACAACACAAATAAGTTATTGTATTATTTTAAATACCTTGATTTGAAGCTTTAACATTTGTTTAAATAAAAATTTGTACATTAAAACAACAATTTAAAAAATGGGGTAAATACAAATTTCTTGAAATAAAGTAAAGGAAACAATAATTTATTTTAACTTACAGTACCTCCGGATATATTGGACTACCCGACCAGCACCGACATGGTAGTGAGGGAAGGAGGTAATGTCTCAATGCAGTGTGCTGCTTCCGGATTTCCTAAGCCCAGTATTACTTGGAGAAGAGAAGGTGGCCTTTTGATATCTTTAAGCCCCAATACAGAAGGTGAGTCGTAATAAATATAACTATTCAATAAAAATTCATCTAATAAGTAATAACTAGAAATCATCAAATAAGCATGTAAATTACGAAAATGATTAAAAATATATATTAAAACCATTACGCTTTTTTTCAATTAATATACATTTTTTTTTTTTAACAATTTTAACAAGAAAAATAATTGTCAAAATAATTAAAAAATATGGTCAAAGAAAAAAATGTTCAGGTAGAAAAATGTTTTATAATCTATTTAGGTATATTCTGAAGTCCATTTTTAACATTAAAATATAATTTATTGTGATAACTGACTATTCTTAATTCATATTTATAAGACCAATAGGTAATGTTTGATAAATAAAATCGAACCATAATAAATTGGAAATCACAAAATTAGAGCTGATAGTAGTGGTAATAATAATACAAATACTTATGACAATTATAATCTGAAACGTATTTAATATTCGAAAATAAATTACTAAGAATAAAGAAATTTTAGTGAGTTATCAGATAAAAATTTAGCTATCAAATTATTATTAAGATTTTACCTTCACCATACGCATAACTTATAATTTATCTAAAAAATTTTTCTCAGTAAAATTATCAGCGTGCAAAAAAATGAAAACAATAATATATTATTTCGTTCTATTTCTTAATACTACAATAATTATTGTTAGATGTATGAACGCGGATTAAAATCGCTCAAAATTTAAGGCTCACGAGTTTTCTTGATATTGAAGTTTTCACATAAACACTATTCATTTTCAATGTAGCTAATTTACAGGTAATAAGCATATTATACATAGCATACTACATACTTAACTGGTTTTATTTAAAAAGTTTTTAATTATTCAGTCTAAAACTATGGTAAAATATTTCGTTAACATTAATAAAATAAAATTATAATATGTACAGCTTATAACTAATAGCGTTTAGTAAAAAAAATAATAAATTTTCAATAAAATTGTTTGAAACGTGAAAAAACTAAATATCAATAATTATAATAATAGTAATATAACTGTAACATTGATTATGTTTTTATGTTCATCAATAGAGCCACAGCAATAGCATACAATATGGTATTATAATATGACACATTTAGTTAATTAATGTGCATTATTTACTCTGAAGATTTTCGTAACACAATGTCTTCTTAAGTTGAACCGATCATTCTTTAACATATACGGGATTATAATATGCTGCATTCAAGTCGTCTCGTGATATAGTTTAATGAGACAATGGAAAGTACATCTTGGCGCGATTTCGCTTCGTGTAACAACGTTGAGCTTGTTACGAGCGCTGTTTCAACGTTTCAAACGCGCGTATACGTTCTTTCTTTATAGCCATATTTTCATAACAATATCAAGATAGTATGATGAGTATAATAATAGTAATAATAATACTCTTTAGTCTTGACTCTTGACTAATAACCGAAATAACGACATCAAAAGTTATATAGCTGTATTATAATATTATAGTTATGGCATCTGGATATCCCGCCATAGAATGGAAAAAAGGATACAAAATAATATAATAATAAGGTACCCAAAAGAAAACTGTCTGGAAAAAAGTTCAAAATTATTCGATTATCTAGCTACATATTTGTGCATCCACTGTAATATAACGAAACTAACAATTTAAATACCATAAAACTACACATTTTTTTACGGTTCTTGCAACAAATGATTTATTATTTTTATTATTTTTTTTTTTTTTTTCATAAAACAAAACGGAGTTTTTGGTCGATATTTTTACAGCACGCCTATACACGCGTGCATAAATAATGCATGGTATAAAAATTTGAAATTTAAGTTCTATAAAATATATCGATTCAGTATAAAATATGTCACCTAGATAAAAGTCGGTAATGGAAATTGTTCAACAGTTCTTTTGTCGTAATGTCACAGGTCACGAACTATATTTGTTGTTTTTATTATTATTATTATTATTATTTCATTTGTAGAACAAATCAGTGGGTGACGTAGATTTATCGGCAATGCCATCGTAGACTTACATGAGATTAATGGAACTTTGCTTGTATTACATTTTTAGCTTCGTGTTTACAGAATGAATGCCGTTACGACCGCGAGTCGATTTGGTTCGTGTAGTGTTAATAAATATTTAATATGTCGCGAGGAGTGCGTTTGACGGAATTACAATATCACGCTATACATATAATAATAATATTTTAATGTGCTATTTTAAACAGGTCGTATGTGATTAGTTTCGTATATATATATGTAACGACATGTACTGCAATATATTATGGTCTGAAATGCTTAAACGGAACACCACGAGTTAAATTATTTGTTTTGCATCCAAATTTGTTTATTCACTGCGAACGTATTTATTTAATCGTAGATTTTTATGTGAGAACTCTCCAAATTTGGTAGAAAGCTTTACAAAAACATTAAAATACCGTTCGATAATTGCTGTTTGAAGCAAAAACGTATTTAACATTTATAATTGTTATTTAAAAATTTAACACACTTAAGATATTACAATTTATAATAAATTGTATATATTTTCTTATTTTATTTATTTATTTTTTTTTTTATCAAGTTATAAAGCTTACTGAATTTGGAATTTAAATTAAAGTTTTTTCATCACTCGTTATTTGTTTTTTGTTTTTAATATTATTAAAATAATTATTTTTATAATCTGTTTACTATAAATTTAAATAAATAAAGAAACATTTAACATTTATTTAAATATTTCATTAAAGGTTAATAAAAAATAAAAAAATAAATAAATAAATAAATTATCAATTTTTGAGTGTTAAAGAATAAAAATAAAAATATATTTAATATTCTATGATTTTGTAACTTCGTCAACCGTATCTTTTAAATGCTTATCTAAATATCGCTTGTATTTTAAATAATAGTTATATCATAATTAAATTAAATTTTTGCCAAATATTGTAATTTTATCATAATTAATACTTAATACTAAACTTAGTAAAAATTAAGTAAAACTAATGCACAAAAATCTATTTAATAGACATGATGGTACAAACAACAAAATACTTAAACTCTAAAGTATATTGTATATACATATAAATAAATAAAACTGCTGATTTGATGTTTTGTTAGCACTAAAATATTATTATATAAAATTAATATTAAGAATGAGAAAAGTAAAAAACACTGCATAAACAAGAGAATAATCTATTTTGAAAAATGTTGATGGAGAAACATGATCATTTTTAGTTATTCTTTTTTTTTACCATGTTAGAAATCTATGTTTTTTACTATTGTTCATTTTTGCCTATGCAAAGTTCGATAGTCATTACAACAATTTATTATTTAATGTATTAGTTAGTATACTTTTAAATTACTTATTTTCCCACAATATTGTGAATAGTCCTAATTATTTTATCTTCCAGTTTAGGAATTCTGAGCTAAAGCTTATAAGTTTGATTTAATATTCGAATGTCAATAAAATTTAGATTTAAAAATTAAACAAAATGTTACTACTTTAATTTACAAGTTTTAAAATGTGATGAATATGCATAAATTATTTTTTTGATGGTATATTGCCACTGAGAAAATAATTTAATAATTTAGCACGTAAGATATTCATAAGTAAAAATGTATCTAAAGCATTGAACAAAAAATTTGAATATTATTGAAAAAATTATATTATTTATTAAAAATATAATAATGTAACATAATTAGTTATATTATAGCTTCTTATTTAAAAATTATATGTTGATTTGTTCAACTAGAATACATTTTATCGTGTGGTGTTTTAATTTAATAATATATTTATTTGTAAAAAAATGTATAAAATATTAACGGTCTGTTATAGTTATAAAAGATTACTTGAATAAAATGTATTAACTTCTTTGAATACTTTTTGAAACTCTTAATTCTAATGTATTCAACTTATTTAATTATTTTCAAATTAATACAGTAAAATTTAAGTAATTTTTATACAATGGACTATTAAAGCTGTATTATTTGCATACAACACTTTTAATTCAAGCACGATATTGGTTAAATAATATTTAATATAATTTCAAAATATATTTTTTTTAGTCTTTGTATCTCATTATTTTATAATCAATGATTATAAATATAACAGTTATAACATTATATAATACATACATACTATATACTTAATAGATAGAGTGACGATTTTTTAAGTACTTATGTATAATAATTAATAAATGTATAAAATAAATAAAAACATAAATATGAATAAGCTTAATAAATTAAACAAATATATATATATATATATATATATATAAAGATAATAATCACAAATTAAGCATAATATTATGTATTTATTGAAATATAAATATTTAAACAAACACTTCTATAGATATGTTAAGATTCGGAACAATGAAATAAATGTATAAAATCAATAAATTAAAATCAAAAAAACCAAAAAGAGTTCAAAAGATAAACGAGTGAAAATGATTTTTATATGATTGACCTATGTTAATTTAATATGCATGCACATTTCTGAAACACCTAAATAATTATTTTCTCGAGCATAAGCCTGGAATTATTGTAATGTCTTTGAAAGCTTTTAGAATTGAATAAACAAGGATTTATTTTAACGTTAAATTTGTTTTTAAAATGTAATGAGTGTTTTTTTTCTTATAAACAACATATTTCGACATTTTGTAGTTGATGGGTAACTTATTCCACACATAGAACACATTTTAGCTAATGCGTCACGTAAATACCTAGCGCTCAACTGCGTTAATTTAATTAGCGTTGACAGTCACGTTAGATACATCGTAGCGATTAACATCAGTTAATTTTTATATAAAACTATATCAGAGGAATTTCACATTTTAATACTTTTGAAATCCATAAATAGGTTGTGAATTCTTAGGGTTTAGTATTACAAAAGTTACGTTTTTCAATACAAATATCGTATAGATATAATTTGAAAATCTAAATTTAATTTTACGTCCATGTCTAAATGAACGAGATAAATATCTTAAAAATTTTATGAGAAAGTCTATTGATAAAAAACAATATTTCATTATTAAA